GAATTAAAGTATAATAGTAAAAAGAGATTTTTGGAAAATTCTATTAAAATTCTAAAAGCCATTAATGTCCATCGTCTCCAGAATGAGTCAACGGACATTAATAGTCATAGGTAGAAACCTACAATGTTTATTGGATTTTTATTTTAATTTTTTTATAATTAATACCGAATTTTTCAGCGGTTACAATAAAAATATTGCCTAAATCGCAATCGTCTTTCATGTTTTCTTTGTATTAAATAAATTCATATAGATAAAAAGAAGAGTAAATGACCTCATTTTGAACCGTTTTTAAAAGTTTTATGAAAAAAAATCCACTTTAGATTAAAAACAAAGTAATGCATTTTGGGTAGTATCTTATGAATAAAATCTGGCGCTATGCTAAACTCTTAAAAAACAAACTTGACTATCTGAAAAAATTGTCCATTTACAAATTGTTTAAATCAATTGAAGTGAGTACATTTTCTGACTCGAGAAGTATCAGTACCTAAAAGCTCAAATTTGTAAAGAGTTCATACATTTACAACTGAATCGCTGCATTACTCTTCAAAATCCCTAGTTTGAATGAATATTAAAAACCCAAAGCAGAGAATCGATCAATGCTAAAGTTAGAACTTCAGTTACTAATCTAAAAAATTATATCCTTATGTACAGATCATATTATTACATACTAGTGTACCCTTGCCGTCAAAAATGACGTCGGTTAGAAAGTTTTAATAGTGAGATTCAATGAAACAGAAGTCTTGAAACAATGTATTTAGATTCGATAAAGTATATTTAAAGAATTCCTAACTAAAATAGAGGCTAATGAATCGTTTAATTAATTCGTTCCCTTTATATTTTTAGACGTTCAATGATGTCTATGATTCATTGATTACTCCTGGTATTATATAAATCACTTTTTAATCAATATTGTTTCATGTTAAAAAAATTATGTGTTTGATATAACATTTAAATGGATTTAACTCGGAAGAAAAAATAGTAATACAACGACAAAGATGGTGACGACAAAGCCTATTTCAAGACCAAGTTGAAGCTACAGACCACTTAACAGACAAAGGTATCTGAGTGCCTCACATGAAAGGTTTGAACAAATAAGACTGCAATCTTAAAAACGTAGGCGTAAAAGAACTGATTAATTAAACGGTTCATTTTGCACGAGAACAAATTTAGTTAGATCCAGTGTCAGGACCCAAAGCGTGTGAGTTCAATACCTGGTTAATGCGGTGGAGAATTTGGAGAGGAGAATTAACATGAGATAACTGATAACTGGCATCCGTTAGACATGGCACGTTGAACTAGAACAGTCTACTCCGGCGAGCGAAATAAAGGGTTCAGTTCGACATTCCAACCAACTGAAGAAGTCCAGAATGTACAACTTCTGAAACGTTGTGATAAATATGGCAACAAAGATAAGGATGATAATCCGAACAATGTAAATAGTGTACATGATACCTCATCACAGAAATATAGACAGATGCAAGAGTTTAAAGGTTTTAGAATTGTCCCTTTAAGATAAAAGCTACATCTGGATAACCATCAGTTGCTGTTGGTGTTTCAAAATGCCAGGTTGAGTAGAACCCGACTTTAAGCATCTGAGGCCATTTAGAAGAGTTTGGATAAATATTTTATTTGTATAGATTATTAAAACGACCAAGGGAAGTAATCACTCATAAATTTACTTAAGTTGATTTGCCTCCCTTTTCTCTACAGATGGAAACATATCTGATGATGCGTATTACAATAAACAGTGCAATTAAGAGTTTTGATAGATCCTAATAGTTTCATAGCTGATATTTGACAATGTCCAAGTGTTATTTAAGCTAGTTTACTTTAGTAATTTTGTGGTAAAAACATTGCTTGTCTCTTGTTACTTTGGCGTTATGCGCAACTAAGAATTCCTTGCAGATATCAGCACCTCTCCAACTAGAATACTCTGTATATTCCAGCGCCGAAGTCAACCTCTAAATATTTTGTGATGTTAATTCAATTTTAGATCTTTATTTACTAAATACGTTCACGTTTTAAACTAAAGCGAATCATCTCTATTAGGATCTCAAGTTCAACGGGTTTAAATAGCTAGACATAACTTATTCAGGGAACGTGACGTTTTACCAACGATCCCACTGGAGATAAAATTCCAACATGAAATCACAAGTTTCATTGATTATTAATAATAAACAGGTGTTCCCTACAGTTGTCTCTATCCTACGCAAAGTTGGTGTTAACGTTTCTGTGAAAGGAGAGACCTACTCGGCTATTCTTTAAATTTTACATATTATAACCCATCCTAAAAATATGGTAGTACAACTTCTATTAGACTGTCAAATTACATTTATTATCACTTATAAACTAGTATTCCCTACTAGTTGCTATCGCGCTACCATTTACACACTTTGCAACTAAAGTAAATAAAGCTATGACTGCCATAGCGAAACGAATATCAGCGTCGATAGTAGCATGTGTCGAGCCGAGTTCGAACTCAGGCAAAATTTGTCTCGTGATTATTCCCGCCTTCAAGAAAGGCATGAAACCATTTCTTCTTTCAACTACTAGAATTTATTTGCAACACTCAGACGTGTGTTTAAATCTTCACCGTAGACCCCGTAATAACAGGGTCCGGTTTGTCTACCTCCCCACACAAAACTCAGACCTTCGGCATAGTTTCGTCTGGGTTCCCGAAGCCGGAGAGTTCGACAAGCACTAAGAGCTTAGCGCGCGGTTAAGACCTAATGCTAACTCTGAGATTTACAAACTCTATGTTTCGCAAATCAATCGATGAAATATAAAAACTTAAAGAAAATATATTAAAAAAAAACAATATTGTATTTTTATTAAATGAGTAAATGTTAATTTAATCATTAAATTGTTTTTAAAATCGTGAGAGTATTTTGTATGTTAAATATTAATTTAAAAAAAAATAGTGAACATTTATTTGTATTAATGTATTTGTATAATTTGTATTTAGGCAGCCTAGTAAAACCAACTGTATTTTGTACCCACTTACCTGTTTGAACTTCTTCCTCAAAATTTGGTTTTGTCCGATCAATATATGGCTATTTTAGAGGGTGTGACAGACTAACGAAAGTCACATAATTTTATATATAGATAGAGGGATGTGCTATATAGCAGAGTAGGCTAAAATCTCTAGTCTTGGGTGCTAACCGGTTCAAGAGAAAGCCTACGAATTCAAAAGAAACGGAAATCCTCTAAATTATTTTTCCCAAGATCAAGGAATTTCATAGTTAATAAAGAAAGGGAAGGCGAGGAGAGCCATGATAGCCTACGTTCTGAAGTGACATGACATTAAAAAGCATTTATACATCAATCATTTTATTATTATTTACAGTTTTGTAAGATAAATACTATTGTATTGTAATACCTACTAAATGACAAAAACAATTCTTAGAATTGGATGGATGCTGATTTCTAAGGGTAGCTTAGGTGTGTCACAAGGCCGAAAGTATGGAGTACCCAGTATGGGGTACCCAGCCAAACTTACTTGTCAGTCGTAATTGTTCTAGCTAGACAAAATTGCTAATCATTACACCTCGTCAAGGTACACATAGAAATGAATGGATGGATATCGACTGCAGTTGCGATCATTAATCCTTTCCTTAGATGTATATTATGTACTTCGCCAGGGTTACATATGGTTTCGATTTCAGAGCTTTTCTTCTCCTAGACTGGTTGCCCTAATATTTAACCCATACCTGGAGGTTTTGATTTCAGAATTTTTCTTCTAGACCTGCTGTCACCCAGTCTGTCCTGCTGAGGTAGTTGGGGGTAGAAAAGAGATGGAAGTGAATGTAAAAAAATTCGATTGAAATTTGAACTCGGTTCTTCGATTCCTCAATCCGAGCCGCTATCCATTGCTCCATCCCTTACTGAAATAGAATTGAAAGAAGGCTAATTAATTTCCCGACGCTGATTACATATATTATTCTATGTGAGGTTGCAGTGTGTTAGTGGGCGTGTGGTGGATTGGCATCTCACAAAGCAGGTGACATCGACCTGGGAAGACGATTTCAGCGTGCGGCACCGCTTGACCCAAGCCCTGAGACGGAAGCTGTCGTTAATTGTGTTGGCACGATGTCATCGTAACCGAGAGTTTTTGTTTAAACTGGTGATCGCGCCAATTGCTCTTTCTCTCCCGGAAACTGTATATATGGTAAACAAGCGTCTCTAATTAGTAAGCCACCCGAGCAGACACGCATGCTCCCATACAGTAGTAAATGTTATATTAATATTTCATATTAACGTACGTGTTTTACTTTGAATAGAAGGATAGAATTCTGAACTCAAAGAGAGATGACGAATGTTTTTCGAAACAACGAAAATGTAACGCATTTTAAATTTAATTGAGAAACAAAGTAAATATTGCATACATTTATATAATAATATAATTCACAATTATTATTATTTTTAATTCATTTATTATTATATATTATGATTATATTTATTTGTATTTATATATGTATAAATTATTAGTGTTTCGTTCTATTTTTTTCCGCAGTTTTCTAATGTCAATCGTTCTCTACTGACTTCTTCATTTCTCTTCTTTCATATCACTCCTTAATGTTTCTCATTTTGCTATTCTTTCACACGCCTTCCCATTTTGTCACTAGTTTACCCATACATTAATGTGCATATGTATGTTTTACATATGAATCTCTTTCGATAAAATTTTTTGTCATTTCTTTATTCCCATCTGTTTTGATCTAAAGAAAATACACTCGAACATTTCAGAGCCTATCGAAAGAAGAAACGTGTGAAATTATATATATATATATATATATATATATATATATATATATATATACCATCACTTGACAAGACACCACAAGTGTTGAAACAAAATAGCTATTTTTTTAGTGATGTTATAACATGTTTATGTTATAATTTTTGAATAAATATTATTTGTTCTACTGTGTATTGAGCACTCTTTTAAGAATAGTGTTTTTGGTTATTTGGAATTTATTCTGTCTACACCAATCCTATAGTTGGATCTATCTATCTATCTATCTATCTATCTATCTATCTATCTATCTATCTATCTATCTATCTCTCTCTCTCTCTATATATATATATATATATATATATATTGTTAAATATGACAAACAATGATTGTCTATTATGTTTGATCATGTGCTATTCTAAACTTTGTATGGTTGCTTTAATTTTGATAGAAAATAAAGACAAAAATTGTCCAACATTTAGATATTTTTTATTAAGCTGTTTCTTGATCTAAGCTTTCAGCTCACATGGACCATCTTCAGAGTGAAACAGCAATATTTGTCTTTGTTTTCACCCAATATTAAAGCAAAAATACGAGGTTTAGAACAGTTCATGAGCCAACATAATAGAAATTCATTGTCTGTTATATTTAACAATATATGATCTGCTGTACCAATACAATACATATAATATATATATTATGGTATTTTAGCATTTTTATGTTCTATGTTATTCAACTTTCTATCGTTTTTGTTTTCATTTTTATCGATATTACATTTAAATATCCTCCATTATAATAGCAGAAGATTTATTAAGAAAGGAGATATGTTGTATAATCGTAAATAAAATGAAGTAAATTTAACATTTAGATTCAGAAATTAGTGAACTTTCAATATATTTGTCTTGATAAATTACTTTCTCTTTTAATTAAAACTACATTTTAAATAAACATTTTGGTCAAACTTATTACGATGGAAGACAAATGTGTTGTTTTGTAAAAGTTCCCTTTTGTGTTAAATATAATCTTTTTATTTAAATTCAAAAATTTTTCACCTACGTATTTCTTGCGATTATTTTTCAGTCTATTTTGTAAATTCCTGCTTCATTTTTAACATTGTTATTATTTTGTTTTGTAGCAATTAAATCTTTAATTTTTTAAGCAGTTGCAATAAGTCTTATTTTCAGACAAATTCTTTTCACTTGTCGTTACTGAGTTGGTAGATAGTTTTATGCGTCTAGTTTTACCTAAAGGTGTTATTCGATTTTTTTTAAATGTCCGTGAAGCTAAAATTTCAATGACGAAAGCAAATAGAATTTCATAATTCGTGCGTCCCCTGTGTGTGCCTTCATAATTCTTTCTCATGTCCTGTAATTCCTTATATAAGGATAGAATTTTAAACAGATCAGCTGCAACCTGTCATCTGTCGTATCCACACGTTAAAGGGAATTTTTGGTCCTCGAACGAATTGTCGTAGTTTTCTGATATATTGACCAGAAAAGCGATACTATTATTTGTTGCTAAATTAAACCACATATATTTAATTAACAACTGCTTTGAAAGAAATGAACGATGGTTTTATTGATATCCAATGATGGGACATTTTTATTATTTAGTATGGGATTCAATATCAGGGAATATCAGATTGTCTAAATCGAGTATAATTTTAATAAAGACTCTTTGTTTTAAGTGTTGATAGACTTTGCACTTGGTATGGCATTAGATTGGAGGAGTAGGCAGCTACTGGTTGACCTGGAAGATGAGCTCCTAAGCCCCAGGTTCTGATTCACGTCTTCGACCAGTAGACATATAAGATCGTAGTCAACTCTTCTGAGATTATGGTGTGCACACATAAAACAACAGGTCAAGAAGATATAAAAACAATCACCCGAGCGGGGAAAAGCATAGGAGAATTTCCCAGTTGTTAACTGGGGCAAAAGATGGCTTGTTAATTTTAACAATTCCGAAATTAAGCTTTATCATATTTAAGGCCCCTCTCTGCCTTCCATCAGAATGGCTGATGCTAACCCCCAGGAAAGTTTCCCGTTGCGCCTTCTCTGGCTAATGTTCTCAGTTAACACGAAGTGGAAAGACTATATTGAATCCATTGCTAGATCATCTGATAAGAAAGTTGGTTCATTATGTGGGGCGAGATAATTTTTTTTCTTCAGAATCTATCATGCATATCTATGAGACTCTAGTCGTCCATGTTTAGAATATAGCTGTCATATATGCTTCGGTGCTGTTGTTATTTATCTTGAGTTTCTTGATAAAATCCAAAGAAGAATCTACAATATTATTGGTCCTGATTTGCCGGCTCAGCTTCACTCACTTTCCCACCGCATAAAGTTGCCTCCCTGTGTCTTTTCTATAAATACTTCCATTGTAATTTTTAGGATGTGCTCTTCGATATAGTACCTGGACTTTTTAAAGCTAAACGCAGTACTAGACTGGTGTTAAAATTTCATGAATTTACAGTTTCTTTTCTCGAACTTCCCGTTTGTGAAACTTCCTTCCGGTTACATGCTTTCCATCCAACTTTAAACGCAATACAAATTACTATCTACAGTCCTCCTGATTACTCTTTTTGTTCTCGCTCATTAGTAACGTTTCTGTTTCTAATTCTTCCACATCCAGTAACCGCCCTGTATCTTAGTGGCTTTACCGTCTTACTTGGGGCGAAATCGATTATTAAAAATACACGAATTAACGAATCTTGAGAATATTTACCCTAGAAACCTCAGATCCAAGGCTTTAACCACTAAGCTACATTACAAACGCAGCATCTTATAATGTTCTGTTAACATTAAAAATTTTGAGAAGAAATTATTTCGTTTTTTTACTCGAAAAGAAGAACATGTTTTATTTATTTTCTATGAAGTTTTCTCTTGCCTTTTTATATTTAATTATTTGTTCACATAATTCAGAGCGAAAGGAAGCCGAGGACAAGTTTCCACCATTGATAAAATATAATCCTTCCATTTATAATTTTATTAGATATTAGCGACGGCTGTAGGTGGTGTAAAATAAATAGACATTGTCCTCTGTGTCAATGAATATGAAACACGTCACTGGAATTCAGTAGCGTATTTAGTACTTAGGTGTGAATTCCTGAACTACTTTTCGGGAGAATTCTTGTCAAACCTGTTTCGCATAAAACACACGCACATATTTGGTTGGCTGGTTCTATAACCTGGATTAGCTTAGGGCACCAGGCTTGTTTTTAAATGTATTCCAGAGGGCAGACACAGTTACTTCTTGAGGCCTTTTTTTGCGGTTTAAGAATCATGTGATAGGCAGTACCGAATTACACGATGCTAGAACTATGGGAAAAAAAGCTCTCTTTTTCTGTCAGATACTGATATAACTATCGAGCCTCTTGGCGAGATATCTAACGACAGGAGCGCAGAAAGAGATGAGATGTCTTTTCCTAAAGCAATAGTAGGAAATGAATACGGGTTTTTACGATGGGTTCGTCTTGAAGACACTCCCACATTTTTATTTTTAGACATTTCCCCACTAGCAAGGCGATAAAGCTCCTAGGGCGCAAAGCGGTTACTGGGAGGGAAAAGGTTTGATAAAAATAAGACATTATTAAGAAGATTGGACAGGATTAAATGAGAGAGAATATGATGTTTCCCATTGCATTTAAATACAGGGTGTCCGAAAATAATGTATACACTCTTTAAATCGTTATAACTTATTTAATTTATGTATTTTGACTTGTAAATAAGATTAATACAAGAGAAAGTATACAATTTTAAATAATTTGAGAGTAAATTATACAAATAACATAGAAAAAATTAACTTTAATAAGATAAAAGCTACATGGGGTAATGGCAGAATGTTCATATAATGATTAGTTCAAATCAAGTCCTCAAACTGGTTGCCGTTCTGTTCAATACACTTTTCATATCTTGAAGAAATAGACCTACAAATGTCCAGTATCATTTCCTCTGGTATTTGAACACATTCTTCTTCAGTTGCTACTCTCATTTCAGCAATTGTTTCAGGTTTCCTGCTGTAAACTTTGTCTTTTAGAAACCCCCACAAAAAGAAATCCAAGGGTGTCAAATCTGGTGATCTAGGTGGGTATTCAACTGTCCCTCTTCTTCCAATCCATCTGTTTTGCATATTTTCATCCATATAAAAATGTATTATTAACTATTAATATTTAAAGATTGTATACATTATTTTGGGACACCCTGTATTTAAAAACCATAATTAACTGGAAATTAGGAAGCTGGAAAGAGTTTCTCCAGTGAGAGAAAAAACTTTGCATAGAACTTATGGTTACATATAGAAATTCCACCTGTAAAACGATGAGACCTACTTGCCAATCTAGTACTGCGCTGAAATTTGTAAAGTCGAGGTATCAAAAAGAAAGCTTATCAGAAGAATCACCATAAAAATATTTGTAGAAAATACACAAGGAATCTACGTTACGGAGGTGGGAAAGTGACCTGAAGCCGAGATGAAGTCAGACCAGTAACTATATGGGGAATTGGTAAACCTATAACTATATAAATTCTATAGAACGACACAGTGAAACAACTTTCCTAGCAGTAAGCCTAGCAATCGATTCAATGTAATTGTTTGCTTATACAAATATGTGAAAAAAAAGATGAAAGTGAATAGGCATTTGAAAATGTTCCAGTCTCCAATACACGGACTGAAAAATAAGACATAGAATAACTGAGTGATGAATATTTAAAAGTTTCAACATATGTAAAAATCATTATATACCTCGTTGTCATGTATGGCGTCTAACTCGTTCTGAAATGTTTAAATGCATTTATATACAACCGATCGGACCCCAAACTACCACCAGTCACGATGTATGAATGCAACCTTGAGAAGATTCAGTGCCCAGAGAAACTATTGGGCCTTAAACTTAGACCTGACCTCAAGTGGAACACGTACATATGATCCATCGGTAATGATACAGGAAAACTGGTCGGCTCTCTATACCGATCACATGACTCATGCTATTCTCTACTTTTACAAGAACCAGATCAGGTCTAAAATGGAACACTGATGTTACATTTGGGTTGCGCTGCACAGTCCTTACCGTCCCAGTCTCGATAGAGTCCAAAATCTTTTCAGTGTCCTTGTAAAGGACAGATTATTTCCCACTTGCAAGCCCCTCTCTCACAAACCGAATGAGGGAAGACTATTACGACGACTATATCAATACTTCCACGGAAAATGCTCGGACGAACTGCAATCCTTGGTTTTGCCAATTCTAACCTTCACGTCTAGGAACCCCCAAGCCATTCACATTGTAGTAAACCATCTGTATTGCTCACGTGTTCCCTCGGCGAGGAGTAAATTCCACTCAAACAGCTTCCTCCCGAGAACCACTGCACTG